TCACATGAAAGATGGAACTTTCTGAAAATAGGTATGGTATGGTTGGGTTAAATATTTCTTCATGCATATTCATTAAATTAGCAACCAAACTAATTAATCAAAACAAGTTTAATGCCTAAGTAAAGTTCAACCAAACTTCTTAATCAAAACAAGTTTAGTACCTAATTAAAGTTGGTTGAGGGTGAGATTATTATTGCATCCTAAATAGTCAATATCGTATTCTTTTAATGTGATTGCTTATTATACCCTTACATTAAACTTTTTTTTTAAATTTTATTCTCTTTGTTTCTTAATAAATTAAAAAGTATAATAATTAATTAAAATAAAAAATATGATATTAGTAATTGAAAGTCTAGTAATAACATTACTTGTTGGTTGACTTGTACTTTAAAATTGTCAAACAACTAAGGTGAAATAATTCTAATAATTAAATTCTTTTGCTTATAACTTTAATGTTATATCTACAAGTAAATAAATGTTGTCATGTAAGTTAGTTCCAAGATTTAAATCTTGAAATTAACACATAAAAAAAACATAATTCTTTGAACGTAGCTAGTTGACATGGGGAGTATGCTCTTAAGATTGTCTTGAGAGATTAGCTTTGAGGAGCACAAAAGTTAACCTAGAGATGTAACCATCCAACCGAAGGAAAAAAAAAAAAAATTCTTCTACCTGTTGGTATTTTCATTTTCTTGTGATTTAGAAAATACCCAGCTGTGGCCAACCATTCCAACCCAACCTCCAAGTATAAACCTAATAAGTGACTAGTTAGCATTTGAGAATTATATCCATGTAGCATAATTGACATATGCATGTTTTCAGTATCTTTGTCTTTCATTTGAATTAAAATCTTTAATTTATATTGACAAAAATTAAGTGTCTCAATTATTATCTTTTTTTTTTTCAAAATAACTAAGATATTTTGAGTTTAAATCACATGAATATGGGGAGAAATGGTTTAAGAAATAAAAAATGATTGAATCTCGTAATAAAATCCAAACCCCCTTCCCCCCTCCCCCCTCCACACCCAAAAAAAAAAAGCCTTTAGTTTATATTGATGGATTATTCCCATATATAACAAGAGAAAATATGATTTTGAGCTTTCCCTTATCCTTTTTCTTTCGCTACTCTCCGTATTATTATCATTTAAAATTTAAACTTTCTACTTTAGAAAATAAAAAAAGAAATTACTATGTACCGTTTTGGTGGTCTTTAACTTTAGGCTGTGAGCTAATGATTTTATGCACTCAAACAACATGAGAAAAGAAGGGATTTGGGGCCTAAACTACTTTGCATTACTTAAAAATTTGGTGATAGAAATGCCCTACAAGATCTCTCTTTCACTCTTTTAAATTGAACTTTTGCAACATTTGGAATGCTTTTTACACAATTTCGTATTGTCAAGTCACAGAAAGTATACAAAGTAACGTGTTTAGGAGCCCCATCTTGAACAAGTCATTGGAAGAAAAACCCACATTGACTTTATCCCTTTCTCATCATTCATATATACTCAAGATGTCTCTCCTCTTTTGACTACTCTTGGGATAACAAGATCAAAGATTTAGGGTTTTGCCAAAATCCAAGAAAAAAGGATGAACCTAAGATGAATTGCTCTTCTTATTTGCCTAAATTTATAATGTTAGCCATGTTATCACTTTAATTTTGTCCTAGTTTATATTTTTCTCTCCTAAAATAATCTATATGATCAACTTAAAAGAAATGTATCGAAATGTAAGTTCTAGTATTTGTTAAAATTTTTTAAAGAAAATTTTATGATATTAATTGTGTGGTTAATAGTACTATATAAATAATCTATATCTTCAAAAAAATTACATTTTAATCTATAATCAATTTAAAGTATCTTGCTTAATTGACTTTCTTCTCCTCTTTTAATATTTTAATCAACATTTTTCACATTTTTCATATTTTAATCATCGTCTGTGATTATTAAAGTACTAATTTTCTTAGTTCACACGCATCTACGTGGTGTCATGTAGGTCTTAATATAGGTTTAGTTGGAAAAACTTGTCATACTATGCTGGTTAAACAATTTTGATACTCTTCTTGAAAATTCTAAATTAATTGATTTGAGAGGAAATAAACCATCCACAGAAAATCATAACGAATCAATAATTTACTATAAACATTAGGTGTGATTAACGAGCGAAAGAGTTGAATATATCTGTGATACTTAGCTGTCTCTTTGACTAGATATCTTCCATTTCCTCCAAGTACACTTTAAGGATACTCATTCATTTTCATCATACACATCCAATAGATTATTTATAACTATTCAATTTTTACGTGTTATTAAACAATTAGATATGTGTAATAAATGGTACTATAAGGACAATCTTTTTATACTATTTTTTTATATAAATTTCACATGTTATTAAATAAATGGATGTATTCAATATCACAGATCTCATATGAATTAAGAAAATCAATCATTTAAATAACACGTTAAGTTATACAAAAAAATAAAATAAAAAAATTATACAAAAATCATTTCCATATATGTAATATTAAAAGTATTAGTAGAGTAAAAGAAGTTTGTTATTTAATGATATGTACGGTTATATGAAAATATTACACAAAAATTATCCATAAACTATTTTTTAGAGGCAATTCAAATGTTGTATATGTGCTTTCCAGTTATTTGTATGGGGAATTCATATGGTTCATGCCCCACTCTGTCATGTGCTGATTAATACCAAACCAAACATAGAACCCAATAAATTAATTCCTTGCCCCCAGCTTGTAGATCTGGAGAGATCAAAACATTACTAGTTTTCCAGACAATCCACCTGTATTTGTATCCTTCCATGTTGAGTATCTCATCATCTGCAGATTATTGGGTCCTCACCTATACTTATATAGATGTTTCTAGGTATATATACCCCTTTTTTTTCAATTTAGCAACCAAACTATAAATCTATCTCTTATTGTGAATTCAGTAGAAAGTAGAGCATCCATGCATACTGCAAATTAAAAAAATTATGAGGAATTACGTTTTTAGAAATCAAATCTTAATTAACAATATGAGGAATAAATTCTCTTATTAATCAAATCAACCATTTAGAATTATATTTGTCCACAGTAATTTAAGTTTTTTGGTAGATCAACAAACAAAGGCACAAGGAGGTACATGAATTCCAGTTTTCCATGCAAACAATGACCCACAAGATAATAAAAGTTGGAATGGACGGCCAAATAAGAACAGGGGAACTGGTTATGATGCCAGTCTTGAGGAGGAAAAGGAGTAAATTCAAAGCTATAAACTTTGATGATAGAATATCTCCCTCTCATGCAACAAATAAAGTGAAAGCTCCTATCTAGCTACCATCTATATTCTTTGCAACTCTCCACAAGCAAAGCCAAAATCTCTAAGAAAAGAAGAACTAAAACCTCAAAAAGATCCATACAACACAACCTTTTTTTTTTTTCCCTCTCTCCTTGTCTTTTGTGTTTTCTTTTCTTTCTAGTCTTGAGTTGAGTTCACACTTCAGACTAAATCACATAATCCTATTTTCAATTAACATGGTAAAATAACACTGAATTTCCAAAGAGTAGACCCACTTAAGTTCTAAAAGATCTTTCCTGATCTTTTGACATATTCTTCATCTAAGAAAATTACATGCAATAATTCAACTTCCTTCCAAGAATGTAACATTATATTGTGATAAATCCAAGCAGTAACTTTCCTGGATTTCATGTGGAAAATTTGTTGATAAACCTTCTTGGATTGTTGAATTCGAAAGGTGTAGATTGTAAAACAGAAAGTAAAAGTTACAGATACATGAGGAAATAGATGAAGAATTGCAGATATACTTACATTTAGACATGGAGACTGACCCTGTTAAGGTTTGCTCATATGCAATCTGATGGCTGGGGGGAATGAAGCCTGGTCCGAGATCATTCAGATGATGCTTTGTCTTAAAATGGATGGTCTCGAACCAGACAGCATTCCCCTCAACCTTGTAAGAAGAAGAAGATGGAGGAAGATGAAGGAGAGAGAGGGATGATTGATATTGAAATGGACATGTAATATGCTTTTCATGGGGCCTTAAATACTTGAGAACAAATAGTATCTCTTGTGGGTCAGATATGACATGTACATACAGTCCAACTCCCACTTTCTACACGTCCATATTATGCTATACAAAGATCTCAAATTCCCAAGTGCATTTTTGTTGAGTTCCTTTGCTTTCTATTATATTTTTCTGCTGATATTTAACCTTTTGTTGACGTGGGGAGCTCAAAGTTAGGGCCTTTAGTATTAGCCCTTCAACCCATTAACCAATAGACCAAATTCTTACTAATGTTAAAGATTGATTTAGCTTTATTTGATTTGACTAGAATATATAAACTTATAAGAGAAATCATATTACATTAGAAACTCATGAA